GAAGGAAAATTCCTGTAACGATTCCAACCACAGAGCCAATTGGCCTGACGGCTGATCCAATTTCAAAGAGTATTGCAAAGCCGCATGATCAGTGCGAACCAGGAATTTCCTTCCGTACAGGTACGGCCGGTACAATCGAACAAAATGCACAATTGCCAAAAGTTCCCGCCTTGTCACGCAATATCGCGTTTCCGCAGGGGACAGAACCCTGCTGCTGTACGCCAACACTCGCTCAACCCCGTCCTTACGTTGCGACAAAACAGCCCCAATGCCGATATCACTAGCATCCGTATCAAGGATGAACGGCTGTGAGAAGTCTGAGTAATCTAGCGTAGGCGCCGTGGCGAGGTGGTCCCGAAGTGCCTTAAAATAACTTTCTTCCTCCACTCCCCATTTAAACCTTAGATTTTTGCCCGTTAGAACGTGTAATGGTTTCGCCAACGTCGCAAAGTTCTTAACGAAGCGGCGATAATAGGAAGCGAATCCAATAAACCGCCGAACATCACCCACGGAAGTGGGTGTGGGCCACTCTCGAACACATTTGGTTTTCAGAGGGTCAGTGGACACGCCGTCTGAACTGACAATATGACCCAAGTAACGGACGGAGTGTTGCAAAAGGTGGCATTTCTTAGGTTTAAACTTGAGGTCAGCCGCCCGAACGTGCGGCTGAAGACAATTATATCGTCTAGATATATGAGGTACGTTTCCCACTGTAGTCCAGCCAACACCAATTCCATGAGCCGTTGAAACGTCGCCGGGGCCGCATTCAAGCCCATAGGCAACCGATTGAATTCAAAGAGACCTGGCGGCGTGCGGAATGCCATTTTGGCTTTTGACTCGTCATCCAGGGGAAGCTGCCAAAAGCCCGAGGACAGATCAAGGGTGGAAAAGAATTTAGCACCCGATAAAGCATCCAACGAGTCATCCATCCTCGGTAAGGGGTACGCGTCCGCCACCGAAATTTTGTTCAACCGGCGGAAATCAACGCAAAATCTTGTACCACCATCTTTTTTGTTAACCAGAACGACGGGCGCGCCCCAAGGGCTGTTGGACGGCGAAATAATATCCGCCGCCAGCAATTCATCTACTGCTCCGCGCACGTGTTCCCTTTCCGCTGGGCTCATGCGATGAGGGTGCATACAGATGGGAGGTGCCGCACCGGTGTCAATATGGTGCGACAAAAGCGACGTGCGGCCGAGGTCCAAATAATTTCTGCTGAAAACATCAGCGTACCGTAGCAATAGTGAACGCAGGGCATTCCTTTGTTCATTCGACAAGGAAGAATTTTCCCCGCATAAATCTGCGATCCAGCGTTCTTGCGAACGATCGTGCGGAGGCCCACCCGCGGGCATCCGGGCGCGCGGCGTTTCGTCACAAGAGGCGAAATCGGTAGTGACGTGAGCCAGCACCGATCCCTCCGGAACAACAACGCGGTCAGGTCCCCCATTCAATACCTGTATGAAAGGTGCCTGACCTGGTCGCGCGATCGTTTGTGCCGCCGCCAAAGAAAAAGATTTAGATACCGAATTCGATGGGGATAATAGCACGCCCTTCGCATCCCTTCCAATTTGAAGGGGTTTTCGGTAACGCAGCGGAATGAGCATTTGCGCTCTCGACGGAACCTCCACCGTAGCAGCGACTACGGCAGTAACTGCGTTACCTGTAGGCGCACTGGCCAGCAGGGAAGGCAGGAACGACATCCTACGACCCCCCGGCATTTCCAAACAATCCTGGTCGACCCGTATTTTCAGCGGCATCCGGCGCAGGAAATCAGTACCAAGCAAGCATGGGACAGCTAGCGAGCGAGAGATCAACACAGGTCCTGCGGCGGTAATATTTCCAATAGCGATGTTCACATCTACCTGACCACAGATACCCATGCTTCCCCCATTTGCGGAAACACACGCATCATTAACCCTGCGTATCCGTGACGTAGGAATGGACAACAAATGAAAAATAACATCTGAAATGATGGTAGCAGATGTGCCAGTGTCCACCAAGATACGGACGTCAACGTCGACGGTACGGGGTACCATCGACGAGCCCGACGCCGCAGCCACAACCCTGCGAGCCAATTTCTTCCACTGTGTAGCAGAGCGTGTAAATGGAGCAGGAGAAGTAAAATTATCCTTAGGAGTGTAAGAATGAGTGCGAGTGGATGAGTGATGTGACACGACCTGCCGGGTGTCCGATTTGTGCCGACTCGCCCAAGGTTGTTGCAGTTCCGCAGCAGGTGGAGGAGATGGAGGTCCCCTTGGCGGAAGAGGCGATAGCAGAGGTCGGCAGCGGCAGTCACGGGCGAAATGGCCCCGTCTGCCGCACTTGAAACACGCGGCCGTCGTCGGCCGGCGGTCGGATGACCCGGCCCTCGCACGTGGACGGCCTGCGTAGTCGCCACGCTGGTCGCGCAGCCGCCGTCCCGGAATCCTATGCGGAACAGCAGCAGCCAGCATGTCGTCGTCGCCAGAGTCGTCGGAGCAGTGGACAACCAGTCGTGGAGACCACCCCAAGGGCGGCCCGTCGATTTCGGGTTTCCCCGTCCACGCCGCCATCTGGTCCCAATGCTTGATATTAAACTTAGCGTCCAGGCAGCGCGCCACCCATCGCGATGTAAGCGGTTCGTGGCCGCACACTGGTAGAGAAATGTTGAGCTCCTGAGACAACTCCAGCATACGGGAAAGGATGAGAGGATCCAAATGATCGGCCGTCGCGTCGGGGTAGGCAGCCATGGCCAGCGCCATCAACGCCCCCCGATAAGCCAAAGGCGACTCCTCCGATCCTCGGCGACGCGACATAAATTTTCTGGTGGCTGACGTCGGTGGGTCGTAAAATTCCGCCATCTCTGCGAACGCATCTCGCAGTGTCTTCTTCTTGGACGCCGGGATGGAGCGGAAGACCCCCAGAGAAACATCATCAAGCAGTGTAGGTAGCGCTCCCAGCGCTTCATCCTCCGTCCAGTTCACGGATCTAAAAGCTGACTCGAAGCGCCACGTAAAAGCACTCCAATCGCCGCCGGCGATAAATTCTTTAATCTGTGGAAGGCGATGTCCGCGGTGGCAAGCGCGCGCCGCGGGCGTCTCCGACTACTGTTCTCGCGCTCCACCCGTTGCAGGCAAAATGGCGTCCGGCGGCCGCGTGGCGGCAGGCGCGCCCAAAATGGCGGCCGACGGCTCCAGCGCAGCCGCCCCGCCCAAAACGACGGCTTCCTCCCGCGTGGCAAGAGCAATGGCGGACTCAGATTCTTTTGCAGGACCCCTTCCCGCGGCGTCCAGCTGGCGACCCACGGCTGGTGAGGACGCCACCGCGGTCACCAGGCTTAGCAGAATGGCGCGTAACGACTCGATCTGCTCCGCCATCAGCCGCCATTCGTCTTTTGTTCCTGCGGTGGTCGCATCTTCTCCCAGTCGACGCTGAGAGGCGTCGAGGAGAGCAGTATCAGCAGGCGGCATAGGGGCTGTAGCCCCCAACAGCTCATCTTCATCCGTCTCGACCTCTTCCTCCGATGGAGGCACGGGCAGGTTCTTTTTTCTGAGGTGCTTGGACATCTTGCCAATCGTCCAAACGGTCGCTGAAGAACTTCTGACACCAACGTAATAATCCTTCTTGAGACAGCTTCCGGAATCAGTCCTTTTTATTTTCAACTTCCACAGTTACACTTTACACACACACTCTCCGTTGCTGGCAGACAACGAAGAGAGGGCAGACTTCCCGCCAAGTCTCCACCGCGCACGTGGCACCCAGAGCCCCCGTACGCGCGTGACTCCTGCTCTTCTCGTTCCCAAGTCTGCTCACGACCGCTCTCTCTCTCTCTTAATCCCTTCGTCACGTGGTACCCCCCAGCCAATCCTCCATAGACAGCATTGACCGTTCCCTGTCAATCCCGGGACCACGCCTCTGATCCGGGTCCCCATTAGCTGAGGCCCCGATTGGCCATGCCAATCACCCCTGCTAACATGCCGTGATCACGCCGAGGCCATGCTCCCTGGCTCATCCCTTATTGGCTACAAAGCAGGACCGGCAAGCCAATCCCCACGTGAACTCTCTATGGCTGTTATTACACCTGCATACACCTCCAATGCCAAACTGAATAAGGATGAGATACATCACAACTGTTTAGGTTTTGGCAGTTATACTGTATATCTTTCTGATGTGGTACAGCTCAAAAACACATCAGAAAGCTATATTAACATGCCTGCAAATGCACCCAAACTAATATCTCAACCTTTAACTTGTTGTGCAAAACCTAACCAATTATGATGTTGTGAATGACTTGCAACCGTTTCAAGTAGTAAATTGTCTATTTAGAGTTGAGAAGTCAAAAGTCGCCCTTCTATAAGAGACCTAACATGAATTTGCAGGCGGCGCTCCTCAGGAAATATTTGGTTTTGACAGCGGTCGTACATTTGGAAAGCATGCCTGTCTTGCTTTTGTTTCCTGTGTTCTCACGGCCCTGTTACACCACCACCGTGCCCCTAACACAGTGGTGGAGCTATCGAGTGGTGTGCTGCACTGGGATCCATGGGCTCAAGGAGCCAAGGTGCCAGGCTATGAAGAGGGTGGCCTAAAATTACAATTCTGTAGTTGAACTCTGGCCTGCCTGCCTGTTAAATCTCCGGTCATAGAAGCAAGGACGAGTGAGGCCATGGGGGCGAGATCTTTTCATGGGAAGCAGCTGCATTTCCTGTTGCTCCCAAATAAATACATGAGTGAAAATGAATACATTTTTCCTCATTAACACTTAATTGTGCCGGATGATTGGCGCCAGATGAGAGATATAAGCATTGACGCCATGACCACTTTTCCACTCATTACTTTGCAGATCGCCATAATTACTGTCCAGCTATCGCGTATGAATGCTGTGTGACTGAACAAGGGTCCACAGCACAGAGGAGTCCAGGTGCCGGGCTAGAAAGAGGGGTTAATAAGGTTTTACTCATTGCACGAGGGAACGTGCCAACGACGCTAAGCAACTGCCCCCACGCTTATTGATTTGTCTACAGAGCACACGTGCGAGAAGGATCGAATGTCGTTTACATTCTGCCGGCGTCTCAAGCTGCTGGGCCGATGTCAAGTGGCAACCGTGAGGCTCCAGTGCTGCCTCACGTGTCACCGAGACGTTCAACGCAGCCGCCCGAGGGGCAACGAACACGTCTCCAAATAACGACCAAGGCAGCGTCTGTCAAAACCTGTGCTCTCCATTTTAGTTTCCTCCAGTCCGGCAAGACTGCTTAAGAGTCACGTTAACACCACCGTTCGTTCCCTTGGCCCTGTCGAAACGGCTGTGGATAAGCGATGAATAACTAAAGAACGCCGACAGCAGTTAAGGGTAAAATTAGTCCGTTCATGTTCTGTATGCTGGTTAAAAAAAATGTTCAAAGTGGTGCCCGTGCTCTGCTACGTGTGTACGTATGTTGAACTTCTTTTGCACCGTAATGTGCCAACCGTGGTAATCGGAGGTGCTACAAGCATGGAGTGTCTCATATGCAATTTAGAAAATATTTGACAAATAGGACAAGCCATTGAGGGCAGTTGTAGCCATGTTCTTGGACCATGTGATTTAGTAATCTTTTGTCCTTCATGTACTATATGCTATCCAGAGGTCCTTAATGACTGTAATACATTTCAAGTACTTGGAAATGTTTGTACGTCACATTATTAATATGTTTATATCGATTTTGACTGTAACCACTACAATTCAAGATGAAATGTACTCACATATTCAAAGAGCTTACGTGCACTCAAATGTTTGGTTCCAGGTTGTTGTTTTGTTTCAATGGTACCGAATGAATAAACACGTGGTGCTATGAAAATGAATTGGTGTAAAATCCCTGTGGTTCAAAGGGTAATAACCATGTCAAGTGGTGCTGATAGTGTACTGTATATCCACATGCATGCTTGTAGCTGAGTAATGTATGGCTTTGTTATTTGATTGTGTACACCCTTTAAACAACTGAAGTTTATACCGGATACATAGTGCTTATTTCTTTGTAGCTGTAAATTATTTCCACACTTGTGCTAAAGTAGGTTTCATACCGATTTTTTTTTTCAAGTTTAAATTGCCTCTCACTGCATGTCTACTCAGGAGGCAGGTGCCACCTCAACTAGGTTCATCCTCGGGCTCCAAATTAATGCATTGGATAAAATATAAATAAAAAATTATGATTTGAAGCTTTCGTGACTGCAGGAATCCATACTCTTTGGTTCTTTCGGTAAAGTCCCGTAGTTAGAGTTCTTCAGCAGTTGCTGAATAACTCTTCAGCAGTTGTTTCTTGCTGTCGTCCCACCTGATGACGATTGCTTGTGTTGCGATCGAAACGTCGTGATTTGTTTTATTTTATTTCTAACTACGTGACTTTACCGAAGTAACCAAAGAGTATACATTTAAATTCTTGTGGGTTTTCAGATTACTTTTATTAATTGTTGCAACATCGTTATTGTTACCTATCACCTACCACTGCTATGTGGAAAATGAAAATCTTCAATTTGGTAAACAATTACAAAATAATGATTCCATGATACAATTGAAATTGTGAGGTATATTACTGAATCCAGACTGACAGGAAGTGCAAGAGATTAAAACAAGTATAGTCTTCAGTTTTATATTACTGTAACATAGTTTATATATGTAGACTTGACGTTCATGGTCACTGATTTTAATCGGTAATGATTTGTGCCTTGCATTTCCTTGCGGTGCTCTGATTTGGACTTCGTATGGATTTCTTTTCAAAAAGTGTCATCTTTTCACTGAATGTTGGTAAAAACAATATTTAATAAAGAAAATCAAAGACCCTCCAATTATTTGAGGAAAATGCTTTTCAGAACTCTGCCAAAGTGAAAATTCTCTTTACTCAGCAGAAAGGAACATTCACCCCAAGAAGCAAATAAAATGTGGTGAACGGTAAAGGTGCAGCCTTCCAATTTCTTCTTCTTGCCACTGCTGGCATAAAGGTCTCCAGTAAGGCGTATTTTGGCCAACTCTTTCACGCTGGCCAGACGTCTTAGAAGAGGCGAACGTACCTACACTTTACCCCACCAACTCGACCTCACGATCGATTGCAGTATACCGATGTATACTGTTGGGTTGACAGAGGCAAGTGGACTTTGAAAAGGTATTGTTTCAACTGCCATGCTGGAAGATTGAACCGGTGACCTTTGGATTGCAATTCCAGTGTGCTAACCCCTATATCATGACAGTAATCCATCAAGCATTGTCATTTATAACACAAGGGGTGGAGTGGGTAGCAAAGTAATTATCACATTTCACTGGGAACCTGGTGACCTGAGTGATTTTTGGGCACAACAAACAACAGTGGTGAGTGATAAATCAACTCTGGTCACTTCTGGGTCCTACCACCACACTTCAACCCACTGACTAACATGGGGAAATATGGTCAACTAACTCCTGCGACCAACATGGCATTGGGAAGGCTTTAATCCAGCAGTGTTTTGACAAACAGCTCCAAATAAAAAAATACAACTTTATTCATACGTCTATGACACCAGAGCAGCAAACAAATGTCCGTTTTTTTATAGACCATGTTCTGCATCCTAAAAGATGTGTAAAGGAGAGCCGACACAAGATTGCAGGGGGTTCGTCTTTTAATCCTTTTCTCCCATCCACACCTGTCCCCAGCCGCCCCAATCTCGTTCCCGCCAAAGGCCCCTTCTTCCCGCCCGTTCTCCCCTTATATCTCCTCGATTACCCCTCCCACTAACCCTCCTATTGGTGGGAATCCTTCCCCTGACACCCCTACAGATGTAAAAAAAAACACATTTCCTGAAGAAGTGCATTCTGGTCCTTTTATCTCAGGTCATCATCAAAATACATCAATAATATAGGTTTTTTTGGGGGGTTAGATCGCATAAATATATATGTGTCGTTAAACCCGCCACCACCTGACAGAGCCAACTAGTAAGGGTTGTCACGTAAACAGAACGTGGCCAATTCGTCACTAGTACAGCACACCATTGTGTTGGAGAGCAAAACCACAACATTTGCAAACTGAGTACGACGTTTTGCAAATAATTACAACTAGCTTCATCAGGCGCTCTCCAACACACAGGTGTGCTGTACTAGTAACGAATTGGCATATTCTGTTTACGTGACAAACCTTACTAATTGGCTATGTCGGGTGGTGGCAGGTTTAACGACATTTATATGTACGCGATCTAACCCAAACAAAACCCTACATTATGAATTTTCTTGGTCGCCAAAGCCTACGGTGTTAAAATACATACATTTAAACAATTGTGACCAGGACTGCTGCTGCGACTGAAGACAAGATGAACCACAATGCACTTTCAAACTAAACTAAAACTTACCAGGTAAGGCCCACTGAGCTGTATAACTCTTTATCAAAAGCGACCTGGACACAGATGATAGCTCAACGAAGTGCCTTATCACTTGGACATTTATAACAGCCAAAAACTCTAAAAGCATGTTTCTAAATGTGAAGGAGAAAGCCCTTAGGACCCGGATAAAAATCCACAAGACCACGGAGAGAATATGCAAACTCCAAATATACAGGCGCCAGGGTCGGGAGCGAACCCACGACCTCCTGTATCCAGGCGAGGTAGTTAACATATCGGCACTGTGGTGCCCAGGGAACAAAGTATGTGTGCTTTCAGGTGTTTGCATAAGGCACAGAGTGCTTTATGTACAAATGTCTGCATGTTGTTTTAAACTTTTGGGGTTTCCTGCCTTCGAATTTATCCGTTACGATGGGGGTTTTTTCCCTGGAAATGAAGAGATTTTATTCTGCACACGTTAGTATATTTAACTTTATTTGACATTGTGAAATTATTTAAATGTAGTGCTTGAGATATGCGTCACACGCTGAAGTCGGTGTGCGCGCACGCGGCGTACAGTGGGAGCAAATGAGGACACAGGGCGCTGATTGGCTGGTCGTTGTTGTTGTCCCAAAGGAGGTGGCGTGATGTCTGAGGATGGTAGCAGGTGGCAGGGAGTAATTAAGGGTGCAGGGCGCTGATTGGCCGAGAGGGTGTTGTTGTCGGAGAATGGCACTGCAGTGTCTGGAAAAACATGCCGCGTGGCAGCGGGGGGCTGGGGGCGAGTGGCGTCGCGGGGGGTGCCCCTGATTAATTGGGAATTAATTGGCTCGGGGATAAAGTCAGGGGTTTTGGAGGAGACGGGAGTTCGCGCTTGGGAGAAGACAGAGGATGGAGAGTCGGAGCAGCAGAGTAAGTAACAGTATAGGGTAGCAGTGGAGAAGCGTAGGGTAGCAGTGGAGAAGTGTAGAGTAACAGTGAGACGACGAAGAATAGGAAGCGGCTGGAGTGTGGGAAGAGAAGCTGATGTAGTTACGACAGAGCGGGACGGCGGAGCTGATAAAGAGCAGCCGAACTTTGGCGGAGAGAGTGGAGAGGAGAGTCGACGGAGGAGTGAAGAGGAGCGAGTGAGGCCGGCGGAACGCGGCGAGCGAGCGGAGAGCGCGGAGGAGAAATGTGGATCGGTGTTAGCAGGAGGAACGTTGAGCGATGTTGGATGGAGGAGTGTTGTGCGAAATACGCGAAATAAAGTAACGAGGAAAGACAAGAAGCTGTCGTGTCGGTTCGAGCACTACATATATGCACGTGTATTCCAATTAGGTTACGTGCAATTTTCAATAACGTAGTGCAAATAAGATTCAGCTTATGAAATGATTTATTAAACCAACCAACCGTGCAAGGTTGATTGCAAGGTCGTGTAAATTTGTAAAAATTGCTAATCCTTTTCATTACATGTAGCACTTCGACACTGAATTGTAATTATACTTAAAGTTGATTAAAACAAGCTATAATTTGAGCAAACATGAATATGATTGTCATTAATACAGCTACAGCCACACATGTTTTATATAATGACACATAATTTGCACTTTCCTCATATAATTTTACGGTTTTTTTTCAAGTTCTGCAAATGTATTTCTATCAGGCAGTGTCCATTCAAATCAATCACACGTTTCATCACGGCAACCTCTCTATCCCTGCAGGCAATGACGTTTTATTTCGTTCCATAATGTGACGACGACATCAAGACCAGTGATGCTGTTGCACTATTTCTCAAGAGCAGGCTTTCTGAGTTGTGTTTTTCACACTTGCACCTTCATGAGCCACATAAAACGCACATAGTGTCCTTTTGCCATTTTCTCAATTACCAGCCAACAAATTCTAATATCTCCACGAGCCCTACTTTTAATTACCCATGTAACTTGCTCGTACCGTAATTGTCAAAATATTAAATGATCTACTAGTATCATGCAAAGGCACGCTCTGGGTGTGATCATGAATTATAATTCAATGAGCGCACAACATGAGCTGGCAGAGGTGGAGTTTTTTTTCACAACCAAAAGCATATGATGGTGATTACCATCCCACCATAACCTTACAAATCCAGATGTATTCCATTGTCATTTTTTACTCCAGACACACACCAACACTGGAGAATGTTCAGATTACTCGGATACCGCAGATATATTTCATTTCAATACTTTACCGTTACACAACTATGCCTTTTATATATATGGAGATGTATCGGGTCAGGGAGACGGTTCGGAAAGCATGTGTGTAACGGTAAAGCTCATTGCGAATAACATACATGCGCACTATTTTTTTCTTTTTAAATTTATTCTGTCCTCTTGGTTGATTTATTTAATAAATGCTTCAAGTTTTTAAATTGAGTTCACTTCATTCTCATCACGTACACACATCTCCAGAAAGTTTTCCCTGGGCCAAGACAAATTGGTGTGAAATCTGCATCATTACACCTGCAGTGGCAGGTGGTGTGCATTGGTCGTTAGTGCAGTGCCCCACCTAAATGTTTGCTTCAAAATGTTTTTTTGCTTTGATAAAAAATTCTAAAAATATGCCAAATTTAAAACCTGAATAAAAGAAGCTAACACACAAGCTTATTTAATCTTTCCATCTCTTTGTGGGACATGTCAACATCAGCCATGGTCAATCCACTGTTCGATGTGAGGCTTCCTCAAGCAGCCAAAGCCTTTCACTATCCTACAATGTAATAATCAACCCAGCACCTGCACATTAACTTATTTAATTGTCCCATCTCCTCGTCGGATGTTTGCTTGGACGCGTTCCATTCTTTGTTGTATAACATTGTACATGTGACATTCTAGATTTGAAGCTTTCGTGACTGCAAGGATTTATACTCTTTGGTTTTTTCGGTAAAGTCACGTAGGTAAAAACTAAAATGAAAACAACCAAATTAAATCACGACGTTTCGGGCGCAACACAAGCGTTCTTCTTCAAGTGGGGATGCTTGTGTTGCGCCCGAAACGTCGTTATTTAATGTAGTTTTCATTAATTTTATTTTATTTTTTTACCTACGCGACTTTACAGAAAAAAAACAAAGAGCATACATGTGACATATATGCATAACGATAATAAGAGGTTTGGTGACAATGTGACGTCTCAAACCAGCAGTGGGACGGACAATCGTGTGTTGGTAATGATTACCATACTCAAAAAATATACCTCTTCACTTTTGTTATGGACGTTTGGGAATTTGGGCAAAATGGCATTGACACATTTTGGTCTGCTCATTGTGCATCAATGTCTGGTCTGCTCATTGTACAATTCTGCAGAAATTGCTGGATGATGACAGAATCCTTATCGTGAAAGCCATAATTACCGGCTCAGCAGCAAAGGATACCAAGAACAAGGTTGAAGACTTTTACTTATAAAAGATGCACGCTAATTCCCAACATTCCAAATGCCAAATTTTCAATTAGCGATGTTTATCTGCCTAGCATTTATGCAAGAATTCTAAGGTAAAC